CCGCTAAGTTCATCAACTGGTATCAATCAGTTGTCGTTGGTGTTGTAATCCACAATGAAAGAGACGTCCATTAACTCGCGTGTCTTATACTATGACTATGATAGTATTGGTGCATTTGAAAAGACGAAAGATATTGGTCAGTTTGGTGGGATAAGCCAAGTGTGTACGAGAGGGTAATTGTTAAATTGACTTTCATGAATAAAGGCCTTCAAGTTTCAAGTTAATGTTTGAATGCTATTATGTTTGGTGTAAATTACTATGTGCCTACGCTCGGTTGATCAGATAAGTCGTATGTTTGTTAGTCATCTACATTCCACGATACAATGTCATGGGCGTGTTACCGTTCAGATTTGAGGATATAGCTGATAGCGGGAAGTCAGTAAATGAGCTCTGCGACGACTTTCCGACCTAGGGCGTCAACCTGAGAAGGGTTGTAGGCGTACTGCTGTAAGTCTTACAGTTCTTCAAGGGTAGTTCGTCATGGCAGAATCCACAACATTTGATGTATTGATTGTACATATGTTGGTGTCAAATAATTGTTTGGGTTCCAGTTAATGTAATTGTTGGTTAATCTTGTTTGTGTCCTGACATTCTACAACTTACAATCGTCAACCTGAGAAGAGTTGCAGGCGTACTGGTGTAATTCTTGCGATTCTTCAAAGGGTTTCCATCAAGATATGATCTGCGAGGTTATGTGCACTGTGTGTATATATGTGGTGTGTCATATCAATTGGTGTTTTTTGGATTCATTGTGTTTACTTGTTGTTTTCGTATCTTGTTGTTATTGCATAATTTTTTTAAAATTTTCGTAGTGATTACTTCCGAAGTTGTTTCGAGTTTTCCGCATCCGTGAGTGAATTGATTGATTTTAAAGACAACAGATGGGTCGTGTACGCCTGGGAGGCTGGTGCTGAGGATGACATGCACACGGAGATAATTATTAGCTGTGGTCCCACACGCCGGGGAGCGAGAGTGTTGACGGCTGAGGCTTGCATACGTCACCGTTACTGGAACTCAGGCAGAATGAGTGAGATTGTGCTGTGGGTATGCCTGTGGTGTGTTGGCTTTTCTGCTTGTTTTCCATTTCAGCTCTGTCCGTGTGACCCAAGTTCTCGCAATGGCATCCGAGTCAACGCGTATTGGTCGTGATGGAAAAAAGGGATGGATCCCTTTTTAGCCGGGGAGTGTCAATATAGCTGAATATTGGACGATCAATTCATGGTTGTTTGCTCAAATCCAACCTCCGTATATTTTCGTGGAGGCATCAATACACCATCCATCGTCTCATCGTTCGCTGTTCACAAAGAATGTAGGAAAAGCTTCAGAAACCCTAGTTCATTATGCTACTTAAATGTTGGTGTTGGAATAAAGAATTTTCTAGTCGCCAATCGGTGCTCCGGTTTTCGCATCCGTTAGTACTAAGTGTTTCTGAAATGCTTCGAGGGACAGCGAGAGGCCCGGCGTAGCGAGAGATAGGCATTAACGGTTTTATGACGTGATTGACATTATATATTCCTCCAGTTCTTATTGATGTACATATTTGCATACCTGTTAAACTGACTGGATTCTGATCCGGAAATAAATTATTAATATTAAGGGAATTTATATATCTGGAAGTTTTGAACACGTAAGACAAGCTGACCTCTAAGATATCGTACAAGTTTCTTCCAGGAGCTATGAACACTTTCAAGAAGTTTATGTGCTAAAATTAAACGTCACTGTTGTAGCATCTATAAGTTAACTCATAAATCGGAATCCTAAATTCACCGGGCTTCCCCCATCTTACCTTCGAAAATGAATCAATTTATCGGCAATAATGGAAACAAAAGCTGACACATTTGAAAATCGGGGTTCAAGGGGATGTTTGCGTGGTGACAGTATTATACTGCCATGCCCTCTAAGGTGATCTGACCTGGTAGGATGGAAGAGGAAGAATAGATCAGGTCCGTAGTCATCATGTTAAATTCTGAACGTGGTAATTAAATCTCCCCACTACCTACGGTATGACAGGGAGAAGAGATTTAAACTGTCTAGTCTTTGATAAGTTAGTCACGTCGAGAATCATACGTGTCGTCTTCCTTCGAACTCTTTCTAGAATTTGTGAGTCCTCTTTAAGACAGGGACTGACTGCCTGCATAAATTTCTCCAGTCTTGACCTCATCAGAGATGTATATAAGGAGGTGAACATATCTCTGGTGATTCTAGTAAAAGCTCTGCAAATTACCCATGAGGATCTGAAACTATTTGCATTCACCGTGCGACAGTGTGCTGTAGTTTTTAAATCGTGACTAGCTGTGACACCTAAATCCAAATGAGTCTGAACTGATGGGAGTGTTATTCCCTCTAGTTCGTAGGAGCTGATGCTTGTTTGTCCGATGCGCGTGTCTACACATTTTACTGCATCAATCGGGAGTATTCGTTCTCTAGATCGCTCTAACGATTTGTTGGGGTCCTTTTGCAACGTGAGCGTATCGCTGCCACCATTCAGCTCTCTCCAGATTTCTAAGTCATCTGGATGTACGACCATAGGAGAATCTGCGAGCAGAGATAACTCATTGATATACAAAGTGAATGGAAGGGTCCGAATACCGTGCCTTGTGGCACTCCGTTATGCACTGTTGTTCAGGAGGAGTTCCAAGTTGATCCTAACCCCTTGCCTCCTATCTATGAGGGATTGCCCAATCTAGTTTAGTGAGCTTCCCTTGATACCAGGACTTTCCAACTCCATAAGTAGTCTTTTGTGTAGAACTTTACCGAAGGCTTTCCTGAGGTCTATGAAGACGACGTCAAAGGGTCTTTTGTTATCACTTGGCTTGACCCAACCTTCCGTTGCAGTGAGATTTGACAAGATTAAGGTGTCCTCGGGAGCCATGCTGTGCTCTGGATAACAGATTGCTGTTTTCCAGATATGCCATGATACTTTTCTTGATGATTCTTTCCAGCGTCCGAACTAAAGTGCTGGTGAGGCCAATAGGCCTGTGGTTTGAACGGCTTAATTCTTCTATGTGGGTTTTTTCTTGATTATAGCTTGAAACCACACAGTAGTTTCGGTACAAGTATGGAATTTTCAGCATGTGATATCACTAGCCCAAATTTTGCAGGCTAACCAATTGATATCGAGTGTGCGTCGGTAGGGGATCGAACCTCAGACCATTTGCACGGGTGGCGAGAGTCCTAACCGCTGTACCACCGACGCAGTTGGGAGAAATAGCTTGAAGATCGTGGTCAATGGGCTGACTATGCAAGCTGGTAACTCATTGATGAGCTTTAGATGAAGATTATCAGGACCCACTGATTTCCCTGCATCTAGTTTCTTTAGGCAATTGAGCACGATTTCTTGGTCGATGTCAATGGAATCTATCCTGTATTCCTCTAATGCAACCAGAGCTGATGCTATAGAGAGTGATGACTCCTGTGTAAAGACTTGGTGTAAGTAGCCTACCACTGCTTTGCTTTTTCTTGGTCTGATTCTGTTGTGTCATTGTCGATGGTCAAGTTTGGGACACCGTGGATATTTTATTCCCTAAGTCGATGTCCAAGAAAATTTTCTTAGGTTGTGCTGTTGCATTTTGAGCCAGATGTGTCTCGAACTTCATCCCTGAGTGGTGAATTTCTTCAGTAGCTTTGTTTTTAGTGGTGTTGTATAGTTTTCTGGAATCAGAAGTCTGGGGTACAGTAACTAGGTTCCAGCATTTATGTTTACGTCTGATTTATTTGCGGATTTCTCGGTTTATACAAGGGAGGGCAATGTTTCAAACCCTTTGGAACTGACCAAGGGATGAAAGATTCAGTTACCTGAGCGTAAAATTGCTTAAGCTGGTCCCATGCAACTTCTGCTTGGGATTCGGGGTATCGTTGCTGCTGCTTCAGCCAGAAAACCTTCTTTCTTAGCAACCCAGTTATTGCATCCTTTATGAAGTACGTATATGGAATATTGTTGAGATATAGTCGTCGTAAACCTAGTTTTTCTTAGGTAAAACAAGTTTTTCAGTCAAATAGCAGCAGATTTTACTTCCTTAAGGTTGAGTGACAATTGATGAACAAAAAGCTAATCATTTAGATACAGCAAACTATAGTGTTATTTATTCCTGGAGTAAAAGCTAATTAAATAAAAGGTTCAGAAGATAGTTGGTTTTGAGAAGCTGACAACTAGCATGGGGGTGAATTATCCGGCTTCTAAGCCGGCAGAGTTCAACAATAGTGTCCCAAGGGATGTGAACGCACGAGTGACCTTCAGCCGACCAGTCATAATAATAAGTGACTTCCTCACAAAAAATGACGTATATTTACAAGAAAATGCATGAAAATGCATTAAACACGGTATCCTTCTCCGAAATGATTTAAAAGTACGTCCCATTTATAATGAGGAGTATCAATTGCTAAGTTAGACTGGTTTGTGTACATATATTCATATATTCATATTTACATATATTTACCGAAGATCAGGAACCTATACCTTACAATCAAGAAGCGAGCACAAAGAAATTAAATTGGTTTATTCTAGCTCGTAAAAACGATATTGGATATTGGAGGTGACTATTGATGAGCTGTTTATCTCCCTTGTCCTCACGGATAGTCTTCTCTAAAAGCCCTTGGTTGAATTACTGTGGTTTCCAGTAAGAGGATCGACGATTACGTACCAGAAAAATGTGGATAATAAAACAAGTTAAAATAAATGTCATCAGCTCTAAATCTATCCATAATCGTAACCCTAACCTTAATCCTGACCCTAACACTAACCCTGATCATAACCCTTCTCCAAATCGTAAGCTCAATCCTAATTATTACTCTGATCCTAACCCTAACCCCAACCCTAATACTCACTCTAACCCTAATCCTAACCCCTAACAAACTATTAACACATTTTCCAAACAGTATTTAAAGACGTGATCTGAGTGAAATTTGCTGCTTAGTTGGTGAATAACGTTGATATTTCAGCTCTGATAATGACAGGTGCTACTAGCCGACGTCTAACATGATTTCAAGGCCATTGGAGCGTTCGCACTCCTGGGACGCTATTGTTGAACTTCGCTGCTCATGTCTTAGCCCAGAAGAGGGAGATTTGTTTCTTCAAGGTTACATTGTCAGACGGAGTGGGATTTTAATTATTTGTTTTATTGCTTTGCGTTCCAAGTGGAACATACAAGGCTGAATTTTCAGTATCACGGGTATTTATTTTTGTGGTATGGAGCTGCCAACTTCATGCTCAACCTTCCCTCTTTACCAGTCAAATGACTTACCGGCTTATCGAGGTAAAGGAGTTCGTCGGTGGCCAGGGATCGAACCTCGGACCACTTACGTGGTTGGCAAGCATTCACCTGCTGTGCTATCGATGCAAAGTCAAAGTGGGAGCTCTCACATTTGCTTATTCATCGGTTGGAGACATAATTAGTAAACTAGCTGGCGACAGTAAAGAATAGACGCCAAAGTCAAATGACCGTAAATCTGCCAGTTATAGTCCTCTATGCAAAAAGTGCCATTTATTTTAAAAAATGTGTTTTTAAGATATGTATGTAGTAAAACCGAATTTTGCAGGGTACATATATTTAAGATTCCGTAAAAGTTGGTTACAGTTCCCCTTAGGACATATCAAACCAATGTCGATACAAAAAATCTACGGGGATGTATATCATATATACTGAACCATTTACTATTATAATACGTTTTTTTAGATGGAACCAGAATCCTTCAACAGAACTTGTATGAGTCCCACTCACACGATATACTGATTCAGAAGTATGATTGCCTTTATGATGAATATCGTCTAATGATTGTAGTTGTGAATAACCTTTCCATTCGAGTCTATAAATAGTAGTACGTAGAAGAACTAGTCGTTGTATTATTGGTATTAAAACATCTGAGTGAAACTTGCAAAGAAGATTACGAATAATATCCATGTGTAATGTCTGTCCATCTTATTGGTCGATTCAAGGCCATTTGACTTTGGTGTCTATCCTTTATTGCTACCCCGCTTTTTGGTTAGTCTATCGCTCAGTTGTTTTAACAATCCTATGAGTGGGGGTCGTGAGCCTTAAGTTTGTTTTCCCTTCTTTCAGAAAGACTTCTGGCTGTACACCGCGCGATTTTAATATTTTCCTTTAATTCTCAGATTCTTTACTGTTGTTATACTTCTTGATTAACATGATTTTATCAGTGTGACTGTCCCAGAGGCCTTTCTGTGAATATATCCATTTCCCAAAACTCCACCCCTAGGTTAGAAATGAAGGCTTTTTGTATTTTTTGTTGTTATTGACCCTCATAGATTTCAGTAGAGCTTAATTTCACTATATATATATATATATATATATATATATATATATATATATATATATATATATATATATATATATATATATATATATATATATATATATATATATATATATTACGCAAGACATTCGTCAAAGTTGTTTACGTACTCTTCCAGATAGAATTCTTAAGACGAAGTAAGATTGTCATTGTTCCACCAGGAGAGCACTATTCATCCTACCAATCACTCGATTATCAGCGTAAATCCAAAAATCCTTGGTTAAATAAAATTGCAAGTACAATTTTTGAAATATGTTCCTGGTCAGGCGTAAAAGTTATTCCATTGATTGCCTAAGGTTGTTCGTGATAGCAGTTATTCTTTATCTTCGTGGATGTATCTGTGGGAATTCACACATCCACGTCTAATCTTACCGAAACTGAAATCACAGAAGGGATTTTTCTTAACATTGAGGTTGATGGGAGACGCTGAAGGAGTTTGAATAATTTAAGGGACACAGGCAAATTCCTTGTGCTATTTTTGTTCACCTGTCAAGGTTAAGTCATTCAGAAATATTTTTCACCGTTGCACTAAGTGGTTGTGGGAGTAGCAATAAAATAGTTATCAGTCTTCATAGCCATGCATGCTGGACTGTTAGGATTCATAGAGAGTGGTGATAGACAATTCACAGAGGCTTCACATTTTCATCGTGGTTAACTTCATATAGTGTGTAAGTTAGGCAAAGAGTGCTAAGTACAATGAGTGCGTAGGTCGAGTAAGTTATGGATCTCTAAGACATGTGGGTGCTGAGGAATGCGTCACGTGCTTATGCTAACCGTTCGCCTCTACAGCAACATCAGAGGAAAGAGAATTAAGTTTCAAAAACGTTTAGAATGACCAAAACAAGAAATGTTGCTAATCCCTGAAGCTGCCAACTGTCAGTCTCAGGCACATATAGTTAGTTTCTCGTAGGTCTTATGACTAGACATTCTAAGTGATGTCTTAAGATGAAGAGTATTCACACAGATGCAGTGATGATTTATTCTCTTTTTGACTGCAGCATCCTGTTTATTTGTTTCTTTATCTTTACCGTACGACATCTGATTAAAGTAATTCGTCTTTCTTATTTGCTCCTCTGCCTTCTGCCTGATGTTCAGATATGTTGGGGTAGTTTATATCACAGCAAAGTTATGCTTGGTGATATGATCATATCATTTGTCTGTCTGCATTATGATGCCTGAAGTGAAAATAAAAAAAGTAGGGAAAATCAAATAAACTGCAATGCGTAGTAATGATAATGAATAAGCCAAGTTGATTTGACGGTATTGTAGAATTCAGGGAATCCAGCAGTCAGGAAGACAAGACAAAGTGCCTCTGCATGATGCATAAGGCCCTCGATGGAGTAACTGCTGAAGAATGTGCACGCCGAGCCATCGTCTTCCTCAACGGGCAATGTTAGCCGACATAAGGCTAGGTTGAAAAGAGTTGGAGGGGGTAAAATCAGAACCCTTCATCAGTTCATGACGGATCTCACGCATAACAGTCTGTAACAAACTTTCATCAGCCACTAAGTGAGGTAAATCCTTGCCGAATCATTACATTTTATGCACGAAAATCAAGTTTTAGCAGAAAATAAACTGGAAGAGTAAGGTTTTATTTTAAAAGTAGGCAACAGGGAATGCTGTTCATCACAGTGAATGTGTTCAGACATTAGAGTTTTTGAGAGATGGGTGGGAAGATAGTGTCGTTTTCATGTTTGTTATATTTCTTGACTTTCCCCCCCTCTGTTTGAAGATAATCATTGATATATTATTGTTCTTCTGTTGTAGATCAATGTTTCATGTGGGGAAAATTTTCTATTCATACATCTCCCGGCCCTCAGTACGACTGTTGAGTTCTTTTCAGAGTACACAAAATCCAGTCAATTTATATCCAAATTCTGATCCGAATGCTGTTTTCAAAAAGCCTGTTGAACCGAGTATTGTAAGTCTGTTGTAATTCACATTTACTAACTATCCTAATGTTTTCCCTTTCTTTTTCTGGTCTTATTTAGAACCAGGAATCATTCAGTGGTTATATTCCTCTGAGTATGATTCAGTTTCTTTGCCGATATTTTAATAATATTTTTTGTTAGATGAACTCCAAATTTCCTACATGTATTCAGGTGGTCCAGGGGGTCAACATGTAAATAAAAGTAAGTTTCTCTGGGGAAAAAAGTCTTTATACACATAAATCTTATTTAATTAAATTAAAATAATCCTGATCTATTTTAACTGTTACCACTTTCGGATTTAATAGTGAAATATGAAATTCCACCTAAATCTTTTGTGTGTTAGTGGTAGAATGCTCACCAACGATGTCACGAGTGGTCTGGGTTCGATCCTTGGACGACTCATTCCTTAACCTCGCTTAGCTTGGTTGTCCACTCCTGTAGAGAGAGAGAAGGTTGGACATGAGGCTACCAGTCTTGCTCCGTGAAGCCAACACTATCGCTGCTGAGACTTCAAAACTGAAGCTTGAAGCCCTATGTTCCACGTGAAATGTTAAGGAATAGACAAATTAAGTCTCTTATAAATGAGTATTTCCCCAGAGTTCTCATTCACTTACTGATGCCATAATGTCTTTTGAAATGAATACTCTAGATGGCTAAGAGACTTCTGAAAAATATGTTAATATCTACTATTAAAGAACTATGATTCATCGGAAATACTGCATAACTTAATTCTTTATTGCTTATGAACACGTCTTTGATAATTTTAATTATTATTTACTCCTGTTAGTTATTTGCCTTTATTGTCGTTAGACGTGTAAATGTTACATCCAGAATTTTACTTTATCCTCCAAATGTCTATTTGTTAAAAGGTCGACACTTTAATAGTCTCAGCTTTATTTACAGATTGCCAAATGACTCCGAATCTGTGACACGCATTCCTCACTGCATCCACACGTCTTACCTCGCCTACCTCAGAGTATTTGTTCATCAAAATATCCAAGACAAAGTTCCATGATTAGCAACATCCATTTTTGTATGTCAGCATACTTGCTACTGTGATTCGAACCTCGGTCACCCATTTGCTGCATTCACAGACATTACTTATTTTTCAATCAAAGTACTCATTACAGTCCTATAGGAGGTCACTCGTGAGCCTTAATAGCTCAGTGATAACGTCTCTGACTGCAGTACTCACTTAGTGATGCGGGTTCGGATCTCAGAAGCGATTTGAGTTCCTCCAAGGTTGCAGATACGCCTTACTTGTGATTAGTGAGTGCCAACTAGCATTAAACCTAGGTGGTCCCGGTAAGGCTCTCTGTGGCTGAATGCCTCCAACCATCTAATGTCGACAGCTCCAGAGTGCACTGTGATGATGAGCCATATAGTATAATGGTGGTGTGAACACATTGTACACTTGATTGGTGGAATCGAATCTGCATCAAACGAGGGACTAGACGCATGTCGTTGGTTAAGACCTAGTTCCCAATCAAAGTTACGGTATATATATTACTTATTTTACCTATGATTTGACAGAAGTACAATATTCACATTGTATATTCTTTTTCTCGCTCATCCTTATCGACTTAGATGAATTAATAGATTTCATTCCCGCCTTTTTATTTTTCATAATTGTATCTAGATAAAACTAAAGTGGAGATACGCTTTCATGTTCCTTCAGCATCATGGATACCAGAGAAGGCTAAACAACTTATAATGGAAAGGGTAATTCATATCTCTGCATTTCTATTGTGGATTTTTACTTTTTTTGTTTGCAGGAAGCTAATCGTATTAATAAAGATAATTACTTTATTATTACATCTGATCATACTCGTAAACAGATATTGAATCAAGCGGATTGTTTAGAACGTATACGTCGGGTAGTTAGAGAATGCGTCAATGCTATGAATAAACCTGAGCCAAGTCCTGAAGTCTTAGAAGAAATTCAACGTCGGTAAGTATGATATATATATATATATATATATATATATATATATATATGCGTAAGGCTTATTATTGTTATTATTATTCTTTCTTTGGGTTCTGAGTGACACACGCAGCTTCAACAGCCTATCTTCATTTCACTCTGTCTGTCTGTTTTAGACATAGAACTTTGCACTTTGCACTCTACTCGTACTCATACAGTCAGGTGGTTCAGATGCATCTACTCCCTGTAACCTACAATTTCCAATGAAACTATATTGTTCTTCGTTATTACTATTCCTTTGTCTCACACCTCTGTTTACTGTCTCTATTATGTATTTCTTCTACTTTCTTCTCTTGCCTTGTGTGTTACAAGACGGAAGTGTGGCGACTTGAACTGCCGCACATGTGTGCAAAGTTCTATGTCGAAAACAGACAGACAGAGACCATTGTGCGGCAGTTCAAGTCGCCACACTCCCTCCTTCTAGCACACAAATCAAAAGAAGAAAGTAGAAGAAATGCATACTAGAGACAGTAAACAGAGGTGTGAGACAAAGGAATAGTAATAACGAAGAACAATATAGTTTCATTTGAAATCATAAGTCACAAGGAGTAGATGCATCTGAACCAGCCAGCCACTGAGAACGATTTGGAGCCATATCACTAATTGTTTCCAGCCTTCATTGGTTTTTGCCGTCTAGAGGATCCCAACCAGTCAGGAAGTCTACACCTTCCTACGTGGCTGGCTGGTTTAAACGAACTGTTGTGGATTTCATTGACTGATGAAGCCAGCCATGTTTTAGTTTGACCGCCGCTAGCTCTTTTCCAGCCTGACCCTATGTCAGCTAACATTGCCCATTGTCGAAGAAGGCGATGACTAGGCATATGTAACACATGTCCTAACCATCTCACTCGATGTAATTTCACAGCCTCGTCGACTGATTTCCCCTCCTTACCTAGAACTCGACGCCTAACCTCAATATTGCTCACTTTATTATACCATTTCACATGGGAGATAGAACGCAGGCACCTATGATCGAAGACAGCTAGCCAGCCTTTTCATGTCTTTCACTCTCAATGGCCAGGTCTCGCAGCCATAAGGGGGGATGGAGCGGACTGATGAGTAGTACACCTGTCCTTTGGTCGATACCCTGATATCACGTCTGCTCCAGAGATGGCGTAAACTGGCTTATGCGTAACTAGCCCTCTGAATCCGTGCTGAGATTTCGTCCTCAACAGTTCGCTCCGTCCTCCTCTATGGCTGTGAGACAAGGCCACTGAAGGTGGAAGATACGAAAAGGCTAGCTAGCTGTCTTTTATCACATATGTATGCGTTCTATCTTCCGTGTTAAGTGGTATACTAAAGTTACTAATATTAAAGTTGGGCTTTGGTTGAGTGGTAGATAAGGAGGGAAAATCAGTCGACGAGGTTGTGAAGTTACATCGATTGAGAGAGATGGTTATGCATGTTATGCATGCGCATGCCTAGCCATCGCCATCGTCGACAGTGGGAAATGTTAGCTGATATAGGATGGATCAGGTTGGTGAAGAGTTAGCTGTCTGTCTGTCTATCTGGATTCAACATAGAACTTGTCACCGAAGTGCAACAGTTCGAGTTGCCATGTTCCAAATAGCACACAAAGGTAGACAAGAAGATGAGTGAAGAGAATCAATAGAGTTTGACAAGTATAAGAGTGAAACAGAATGAGTAATGGTAGAAAAGAATATGAAAGATTACAGAGACTGAATACTATATCTGCGCCATTGACAAAGATTTTGAGCCATGTCACCTATTGTCTCCATCCATTGATTCTTAGAGTCCCGAGGATCCGAACCCGGAAGTCTGCATCTCCCTACCTGACCGACTCAGTTTAACTGTCAAGGATTTCATGGATTGATGAGGCCATGTTTTTGTTTGGCCACCACTTACTCTTTTCCAAGCTGCACCTATATCAGCTAGTAATGCCCGTCGGGGGAGGCGATGGTTAGGCATGCTCAGCACGTGACCTAGTCATTTCAATCTATGTAGCTTGATAGCCTCGTTGATTGATTTTCCCTGTTTGCCCAACACTCCACGCCTAACGTCAACATTACTTACCTTGTGAAACCACCTAACGTGAGACAGAGATCGCAGACATCTATGATCTAAAGCAGTCAACCTTTTCATGTCTTCAACTCGTATTGGCCATGTTTCAGAGCCATAGACAAGGATGGAGCGAAGTGCTGAGCAGTACACACGTCCCTTGGTTGATAGGCGGATGTCACACCTACGCCAGAGATGGTGTAAGTCAGCGAAAGCAGCTCGAGCTTTTTTGATCCGTGCTGAGATTTCGTCGCCAATCAGTACGTTGGTGCTGATACAACTTCCCAAATAGGTGAAGTGGTCAACATGTTCTATCACTTCACTCCCTATCACTAAGCTAGGAGTTGACGTAGTCCAGTCCTGTAGCAGCATCTTACATTTGGCAGGGGCGAATTGCATGCCAAACATATGAAGATTGTTGCTCAAGGTGTCCAGAAGACTCTGTTGGATTTTGTCAGCATCCTCCCCTAACAGGACTATGTCATCTGCATATTCTAAGTCCATAAGACTATTCCCTGGTAAAAAGTCGATTCCTAAGTCGTTGCGTTCAATTTAGGATACTTCCATTAGCATATCTATGATGAAGTTAAACAGAAATGGGGAAAGTGGACATCCCTGTCGGACACCACTGGTTGTTATCAATTCAGATGACAATTCCCCATAAGCCCTTACACGACTACGTGAGTTTGAATAGAGTGCCTTGATTAGTGCAATGTACTTTCTTGGCACTCCCTTCACAGTCAGACATTACCATAGTACCTTCCGATCCACGGAGTCGAAGGCCGCCTTCAAGTCAAGAAATATGGCAGTTGTGAAGAGTTAGCTAGTGGTAGTCAAACGAAAACATGGCTTCATTAGTCAATGAAATCCACAACAGTTAGTTTGAGCCACATAGGGAAGTGTAGAGTTCCTGGTTCAGGTACTCGGGATGGTAAAAACCAGTGAATGCTGGAGACAACTGGTGATATGGCTGGCTCTAAATTGTTCTCAATGTCTGACGCATATGAATCCATTGTTTGTGATTTATAATGTCCGATAAAATTCTGTTGTTCTTCCATATTACTATTCCTTTTGCCTCATATTTCTGCTTATATTATAGTCCTTTTGAATCACTTGCTCTCTCTCTCTCCTATCTACCTTTGTGTTCTCCATATAGAGTGTTGCAACTTGACATAACACACTTCTTTGTCAAGTTCTATGTTGGAACTTAGTCATCAATCAGTGTAAGCTGTTAAGTATTCCATTCATAACAAGTGGTCTTCCTTTGCTGCTCTCCACCTCGGTTTCTTCATCTACCATACCAGGCATTGTCATCAAGCCTCATGCAATAGGTTCGGCTCGGTACCGGCTAAGTCTCAACTTACCAACCATGTCCACCAAGTGAATGATTAGGAGGAAAGACCAAGAAGTTCGGCAAAATTATCTATCTTTTTGGGGATTTTATCTTCAAAAGCAGCTATACAATCGCATTTATATACATAAGTTTACATAGATACGAATTATTACTTATTTAATTCCACATAATAACAACGAACAAGGTTAAAGGTGATAATAATCATAATTTTCAACTTGATATGAAAGTCTGATGGTGTGAATGTAGATTACAAGTGGCATGGAAACAAAAATACACGGGACTAGAAAATACTTGCGTAATATGTAAAATATACAGGATGGGCATGAAAACAAATTCAAATGATAACATTTTTTGAATTGAAGATGAAGAAAAAAAGTAAAAAGGGAATCAATAAGCAGAAAAAACGGTAACTATGGTGTCAAACCGAACTAAATCCACGGCAAATGTAGAGGTTTGACTAGTTTCTTTTGAATACATTGCTCACGCTTCTCGATGTTATATGGCGAGGGCTTATGCAGTACAAAGAAGTTGAAAATATATTGTCTTTGATAGATTTCTGTTTGATTATATTAGATAGCTGGAGGCAATCGGCAGGAAGCCTTGCCGGGACCTCGGTTTCGTGCTAGTTGGCACTCGTCAGCAAAGCGGGTATGCAACCTTAAAAGAACTCATGCCCCTTCTGAGATTCAAACCCACGTCACCCAGTGAGTACTGCAGTCAGAGACGTTATCACTGAGCTATTCGGGCTCACGATGAACCTCCTGTAAGACTGTAGTGGGTATTTTGAATGAATGATGAGTCAGTTGAGGTGTTGTGACAAATCTTCATTGGGCTAGTGAAGCCTCTGTAGCTATGATTAAAAGGATGAGGATAGAATGGTCTGTGTACCTCGCTAGCTCCATAGTAGGAGCAGCTGAATTCATTTAAGTACATCGGAGAGGTGATATGCGAGAGTATTTCTTCTCATTACTTAGAAGCACAAAACGCCCTTTTATGATTGTTAAATTGATTTACTTGGTTATAACACACAGTGAGTGATACATTTATTTACCTACGTGTCCTATTAAACAAAGTATGTATTGCTCAATAATCATATCAAGTTACTCAGATAACTAAGTGCGCATTACTTTGGTTATGTAAGTATCTTGATATAACTTTAGGGGAAAAGTTCATCATCATCATCGTCATCAGTAATGTCACACAACACTATCTTTTATCAAATAGAACTATAATGACAGACGACAAGGGCCAGGCCAGCCAGATCGTTTATTCAAAAAATCAGCACATATTTATAGATTTTTATTTACATTATTATTCGTTATTTTAGCAGAGAAGCAACACCTGATTGGTTGTTTTCTTGCTGAAGGTTATTCTGTACTGCTTGTGACCGTTGTTTACAAAGTTATTCATACATCTGCGAATCGTATTTGCACACACTAAGTCTGCTGTGATTGGTTGTTAAGTTTCCCAAGGTTAGACTCTGATCTTGTTTTTCATCATGACCTCGATTTGGGACGTAAACATTGACGTCATTTGTTGTCTACAATTTTGTCTTGCAGACAGCTCTCACTATAGAACTATTCTTTCCTGGGATTGGCGTTTGTAGTTCAGTGGTAGGTGTGGTGGTGTGATACAGACAACGTCTGCCAACGGAATGTTATTCTCACATGTTCCCACAGTTCAAATCGGCATTAACAACAGTATACGATATATCTATTTTTGAACATTGTATTTAATATTAGAGACAGAATACTTTCCCACAGCTCAATACTGCATAGCCAACAGAATACTATGTATGTATTTGAACATTCTATTTCTTATCGTTTGATGTAAATGGAAATCACACGCTTAGTGAAGATCAACCAATATAAACTGTAGATATGTAAACAGCGGTTTGATTAATGAAAAATATACTCCGGCTTCCGTGTCTTACCTTCTGTTGTTATAGTAGAATGCTCGCCAACCATACCGCCGTAAGCAGTCTGGGGTTTGATATCTGGCAGACACACTCTTAAACTTCACCTAGCCATTAGTAAGCTGCCCGGTAGTGGAGGAAGGTTGGACGTGTGAGGCGAACAATCCCACTCCGTAAAAGAAACACCACCCGCTGCTGAAACGTAAAGGAATGAGAGAAAAATAAATCAGGAATTTAAGCGGTTTTGTTGTCTGTCTATCGGCAGCGTCGGTGGCATAGCGGTTATGACGCTCGCCGACCATGCACATTGTCCGGGGTTCGACCCCCGGCCGATGCACTACTTTACCTCGCTAAACCAGAAGTAATGCTTGGTAAAGAGGAAAGATTGGGCATGAGGCTAGCAACACCATCCTGCAAAATTAAACACTGCTACCGAAACTTCAAGCCCCTAGATTGAGGCCCTATTTTCCACTGGGAACATGATGGAAAATAAACTATCGGCAGTTGTTGATGTAGTTAACATCAAGGATACTTAATGTTAGAACTTAGTTACATTGAACAAATTTATCGTATATCAAACTAATAGCCATGCCTGTTGTAACTATTTCTTTCCCAGTAGTTTCTGCATTGGTTTGTTTTTATATAAATAGATTCTTATTTGAAGTTAACAAATGGTCACACCTAAATGGTCTTAAACAAAATCCATCTAAATGTCATTATTGTCGGTTTTTGTTTCAAATGCGAACAGTACTCTGCGTGGATTGATTCAGTCCCATGATTCTAGTGATATTGACAGCATTGTGATAGGGGGAGTAAATCGAATGTCTTTTATTTCGACATCAGTTTATCTTCGAATCTCTGTTGTTTGTCACTTAGCCTGTTGATTTCTAAGAAAAGCTTTCTTTCCACTTATTATGTGAAGAAGTTGAGACCTTTGTGCTGGCATAACTCACAACCTCTTCTCTTCCAATTTATCAATTCATGTATTCTACCCATTCTTCTTTATTGTTCCTTCTTATTTTCCCCCCGGCTTTTCATGAAACACTGTGCTATAATATTATGTAGAACATTGAAGGCTGTAGGTAGTATTAGTGATGTGCCTTTGACACTCAGCTAACTGACATTATTATCCAAGTATTGGTTTGTAGGGATTTGATTGGTTTCAGGATTTCATCATGAACTGACATTAGTTAGAGAACCATTGGAAAACCTGTGAGTACTGGACAGCTGTTTCGTCCTAGTTTGGGAATCATTGGCAGCATTCTGGATGGCATACGAGCTTGCCTTCGGTTCGAACCTTGGCGGTGGGTGCTTACTGTCGATAATTCCCAAACTAGGATGAAGTAGCTGTTTATTTCTCCAGTGCTGGTTTTCAATGGTCCTCTAACTGATATCATTCCGTGGTCACATTCATAAGAAATAAATTTAATCATTACAAAACAAACTCTTGAATATTATTAACGTATCTGCATATTCATGTAAGGAGCTAAATTGTTTCAATGTGTATATAATAGATGCTGAAATTCTATTCTGTATAACTATCTATTGTTTCAAACCAGCATGGAAGTTCTAGGCAGAAAGAAGAGACAGAACAAACAGTGGTGGACACTTGGAGACTAATAGAAGAGAGAAGGATGGTGAAACAAAAGATTATCCAGTGCACCGACGAGCAACAAAAACAGGAGTTGAATGCAAGCTACAATACACTGAACAAAAGAGTAAAGAAGGGTGCCAGGGAAGACAAAAGAAAATATTATGAAGCCATGGCAAGTGAAGTAGAACAAGCTGCAGTGCAGATAGAGGAAACCTCGCCACACTCTACCAAACAACTAGGCACCTATCGGGAAAAAATTCGACACAAATTAAGCCAGTGAAGGATGACAGTGGAAAGTCAATCACCAAAGAAGTAGAGCAAAGAAAACACTGGGCTGAACACTTCAAAAGACTCCTAAATCGACCGCCACCTACTACGCGCCCAACAATACCAACAACGAAGGCAGAACTACCAGTGAACATCAACCCCCCGACGAAATCAGAAGTCCTGAAGGCAATCAAGATGCTAAAAGCTGGAAAAGCAGCAGGACCAGATGAAATCCCAGCAGAAACTTTGAAAATAGACCCAGAGACAACAGCGGACTTGATGACGCCACTGCTGGAGAAGGTGTGGAAAGAGGGCAAAGTACCGGAGGATTGGAAGAAAGGATACTGCCAAACTGCTAAAGAAAGAAGATTTAAGCCAATGCAAGAACTAGAGCGGAATTATGCTCCTGTCCATCTCAATCAAAATACTAAGCTGCATCATCCTGGAGAAAATCAAACACGCCATTCTGGATGAAAAACTTCAACCGGAACAAGCTGGATTCAGGAGAAATAGGTCATGTATTGATCAAATCGTCACACCACGGATCATCATTGAACAAAGCTTAGAATAGCAGTCACCTCTCTATCTCGCTCAACTTCATCGACTTTGAAAAGGCCTTCGACAGCGTCGATCGAGAGTTGATTTGGAAACTACTTCGCTACTACGGGGTTCCATCGACAATTATACATCTTATCCAACAGTTATACGACAATGCTGCATGCCAAGTAATCCACAATGGGAAACTTACGGAATCCTTCGAAGTGAGGACGGGAGTGAGGCAAGGCTGTCTACTATCGCCAATGATCTTCCTGATTGCAGTAGATTGGATAATGCGACAGATAGCGGTGGGCAATGAGGAAACAGGCATAAAATGTACTCACACAAAAAACTTGGAGGATCTGGACTTCGCCGATGATATATGTCTGATTTCCAACAAACTGGAAGATATGCAAGTGAAAAGCAACAAGCTGGCAGAAGAAGCATCGAAGATAGGACTTCAAGTGAACATAGAGAAAACAAAGGTAGGTGATGAAGATTCCTGGCCAACAACAACAGCGACAACAACAGGAACAGACAACAATCAGCCAGCATAAATGGGAGGAACCTGAAAGAAACAACCTCCTTTACCTACCCACCTAAGAAGCATCGTTTCAACTACAGGTGGAACTGTCGAGGATATCAAAGCCAGGAGGGAGAAAGCAAAACAAGCTTTCATTATTCTCAAGTCTGTGTGGAGGTCAACATCACTCAGCATGAAAAATAAGATCCTGATTTTCAACTCCAATGTGAAATCATTCAGGGAGCAAACCAACCAGGAACCGATTGTGCAACAAATAAGCAGGATGAAATGGATTGGCTGGTCATACTCCGAGGAAACCATCAAGTGACATCACTAGACAAGCCAGTGCTCGAGTGGAACCCGAAAAGGAAGCGGCGAGTTGGTCGTTCCACGGTGGGGTGATTTGGAGGAGGTCATGTGAAGAGGAGATGAAAGGAGACTTAGGGCCGGGTGAAAACATTGGCAGAGAACCGAACGCAATGGAGACGCGCGGGTGAAGCCCTATGTTCTTCTAGCAATCAAAGGAAATAATAATAATAATAATAATTTATTGTTTGGAATAAAGTAATTATTATCATTCTTAATATTATTCTTGTATGCGGAGGATTGATGATACTACACAGTTATAAAAACACTAGAGCATATGAAGTTGAATTCCATATAGCTATAGCACTACATGCAGTTACACACAACCATACAATAGGATGGGATAAGATGACAGTTTTAAAATCTAATGTCACAGGGTATAGGGAGGGATTGATAACAGAAGCTTTGTTTATCGAATCAACTGCAAATACATGTAATAGGAATGATTCAACACCTGTCCACCCAGATATATGGAAAATTCTACTGCCCATACAACAAATAGGAGAAGACGGAGAAAACTATAAAAATCAAATCTCGAAGTCGTGTGACAAGAATTGATATGATTATGAACAATAAATTATGTTCGAAACCTTGTCATCCGGTATACAATACTGTTTCACTGTGTGATACATTTAATAAACAAACTAATATGGAATTACTTACTACCCCACAGTGCCCAAGTTTTACACATATATTCATATGAAGTTGAAGTTGTAAATTTGAGACCTATCGGTTGAAAGTTCAGTCCTCATGCCAGTGGGTCATATCTCCATTTACACATGTTTATTATAACAATTATTCATCTTCTCCATTAATGTTAGAGTTTGTTAATTATCTCTTCCTCATATTATTCTTTTTTTTTTAAACACATATTCTGTCAACAGAAAAGTGAAAGCCAATGAAGATAGACTACGTGAAAAGAAGGCGAAATCGTATACAAAACAGCTACGTCGAGATACTGGTGTCGTGGATTTATTTTAATCAATTGATAAAAGAAGAAAGGCAGAGAAGAGGAAAACACACTACTTATGATTGTGTAAATAACTAGAGAATCAATCAATCAATAAATAAATAGACATAATGTATAGTACATGTATTACAAATATATATACTGACCAAACTAGCCTTCCTTTTTGTTGCCTTCACCTTTTTTTCGTTGTTGTGATGCGTATTTTGTTTGTTTGATTATTCATTTTATTTCAAGTTTGATCACGGATTGATATCAGTCGGGGAATTTTTGAAAACCACCATTACTTTTTGATGTGGTTGTTTTCTCTGAGCTGGCTGGATGGTTGATTTGCGAAGCTTTCATCACCCTACTAGGCGACATCTTCTTTCAGCACATACTTCAATTTGAATTGAAGTGAACTTTTAGATTTCTCCATGAGTTTATTAATCATCTCTCCTGGTGGGTGACCTTGGACGTGATTGGTTGCTTTTTGTGTATTTTCACACCTTCTAGGTTACTTGTATTGGAACTGTACTGTATTCTGTACAGTACAGAAGAATGGATATCCACAGAACTTCATCAAGAGACACATACCATCAAGCCAACCTATCAAACCAAAAGCCCCCAAGGAAAGCACAAAGAAAATCACCTTACCATATATACATAAAGGATATCTCAGAAATCACTACAAGGACTCTTCAAACACGTTCAGGAATTGACGTTGTACACAAACCAACAAAGTCACTTCATTCAGCTAGCCCTATGTCAACCAAAAGACTCAACAGCGAAAGAAGATAAAACCAACATCATTTACAAAATAAATTGTAACAACTGCGAAAAACACTACATTGGTCAAAGTGGACGACGTCCCCTTCGTTTTCGTATCCACGAACATAAGCTAGCCGTCAAAAGACATGATATCCACTCCCTCATATCACTCGCTGCATACAGACAACCACGGACATCGATTCGACTGGGACAACGTTCAGATATTAGACAGGGGAAACAACAAGAATTCTAGAGAATTTTTAGAAGCTTGGCATTCCAGTGAATCATCAATCAATAGACACATCGAGATAGACAAAATTTATCAACCAATAATAAAGAAACTTTACACACAAAGGGTCAAAGTTCAAGTCAAAGAAACAATCAGTCCCAATACAAATAACCTGGAAGGTGTGAAAACCACAAACACAACCAGTCACGTATCACAATCAATATCAAGGTACCTTGATATGTACTTTGTTATGATTATGAGCAATAAATTGTGCTCGAGACGTCATCAGTAAACATTACTGTATAACACTGTGAGACTTTATCAAAACAAATTTTGCCCATAATGGAATTACACTCTACCATAGTGCAGAAGTTTTATTCTTATATCCGTCCTAAAGGAGGTCAATCGCCAGCCCGAATATCTCAGTGGTAACGTGTGTCTGACTGAAGGTGGTACTGGGTGACTCTGGCTTGAATCTCAGAGGGGTGGGACATGAATTCCTTCAAGGTTTCAGATATGCCTTACTTGTGACTAGTGGGTGCCACCTAACTTGAAACCTAGATCCCGGCAGGACTTCCTGTTGATTGCCTCCAGTCATCTAATATCAACAACTCTAGAGTGCATCGTGCTGGAGTGAGCCACCACTTAGCATGGTAGTGTGACCACATTGTACACACTTGATTGGTGGAATTCAATAATCAATATAACAAAATCAATACTTTCGAGAGTTTTTTTGTAGGGATTTGATTTGTTTCATGTTTGATCATGGATCGATATCAGTTAGCGAAGCACTGCAAAAACCACCAGGGTGTACTGGACAGCTGATGTGCGCTAGTGACTGGCTACAGAACCACTGGGAGCTACCCAGTAGTCGGGCGCAAGTGAGGATAAATGCTTTTTTGATTGGACACTAGTCAGTAACTAGTGTAATGTGTGTCTAGTCCTAGTGCATTCTGCCACATACACACACACACACACACAGAGTTTTGGGGAGTTGTCATTGTGGGAAAATCACAACTAGATTTGATTGTATTTTCAATATCACCAGTGGGAGGATTGTTATTCTCAGTAATTTTTTTATCACGCTTTCAGTTCACCAGTCTTTATCACTTAGAGATATCACTTCTTGAAGAGTCATTTTAAGGGTTTTGCTCAATACAAGAAAAAACAAAACAAAAATGTGTGTTTGGATTTCTAAATCATCAGGAGGAGAATGTGTAAAGTACAAGTAGAAATTAAGCATCTGAAATGATCTTGGCTGGGCAAGTGATCCCAACTTGAAATTCTCGAATACATGCAGAAGGAAAAAAAATCACCACCTTGTTCTCTGGATAGGGCAAAGTTAAACCTCAAGCACCACTAACTACCAATCAACAAACGACCTTCAACTAACCGATCACTTGAAAGGTGGATTTTCGATCATCGAAAACGTATGTTTATGAGAAAACAGCATGAAAGCTGCATAAAACTGTTACGTAGGGTATCCTTCTCTAACATGTGACAGAAACATCTCCCAGTTTAGCATAATAATAATAATTTACTTTATTCCAAAAACAGTACTTATAATACGGGATGGAATTTTCAGCATTTGTCACAATATTGCATCTGATTTACTTAAAATATAAATTAAATTAAAAATTAAAACGAAAGTAACCAGAGGAATTTGTCCACGTTTACGATATAAAGTCAAAAATATTCGAAGCACGAATTGAGATCATTAAATGTAATAATAATAATAGTAATAATAATAATAATAACAGTGAGTTTGTTTCAAACATCATTGTCGATTCAGTTTGAAAATTTTAGCATGTTACTATAGAGTATTGAATCTAATGTTCTGTTGATGTAGTATAGTGAGGGGAAATACAAGATTAACAGTGGTAACACAGCTTAAACGAAGTTCACACTTATGAAAAATAAATAAATAAAAACAAAACATTGACAGAATTATAAATATAAGAAATACAATAACAAAAAAAGTTTGGTACTGTAAGGTTAGAAGAAATGGTTTATTTAGTAGTGCGAAGAAGGTTAGTTAGTTCATGCCTGACACCATTTTCATCACATAAAGTACGTGCTAAATATGGAGTGGCAATAGAAAGTTACACCACATTCTGTACATATATTCATTCAAATAACTATAAATGACACACTTTTGAGATCCATTTATAGCCCTAATACTATTTCATTAATCTTCCCCAAAATCCTTCTTTGTGATGGGATCCACAAAATCACTAGAATGGTTGACTCTGTGATAAATATATCCCAGGGATGTCTCTGCAGTGCTGGTGCCACTGAACTATTGACTCGAGACTATTTTCAGTTTCAGCAGCTACGCCTCTCACAGTCTGTTTTTAAAACCCAGTAGTTACAAATATACAAATTTGGGTTGGGGAGAGATGCGACCTAGCAAAAAATGTTCCTACGAAATACTAGAATCATCATTTTACCTTCCCTAATACGAACTCCTCTCAAGCAAATTGCACATCGATGGATATTCACCACTCGACTTGCTAAAGCTTTTTTAAACTCTACATGAACAAGTCCTCTTCTTCTTCTTCTTCTTAAGCAACCCCCAAATCCAGGCAATACTGCAAAACCTTGATTTGATGGTATTAGATGGTTGGAGGCAATCGGCCACAGGAAGCCTTGGACCTAGGTTTCGTGCCAGTTGGCACTCGTCAGCAAGGCGTATCTGCAACCTTGAAGGGACTCACGTCCCTTCTGAGATTCGGACCCGCGTCAGGTCAATCACGGGCCTGAATAGCTCAGTGGTAACGTCTCTGACTGCAGCACTGGGTGACGCGGGTTGGAGTCTCAGAAGGGACATGAGCTCCATCGAGGTGGTTGCATATAGACCTTGCTGACGAGTGCCAACTAGCACGAAACCTAGGTTCAAGGCTTCCTGTGGCCGATTGCCTCCAACCATCTAATACCATCAAATCAATGTGCACCGTGATGGCGAGCTAGCTAGAATGGTGGTCACATTACAACCTGACTGATAGAATTCAGTCAACACCAATCAGAGGACTAGACGCATCACACTAGCTACTAGTGTCAAATCAAAACTGCAAAACCTTATCCTTATCGAACTGCAAGCGTAACTCTTCGTTAGAGCAGGTTTTTTTTGGCGCAAATCAAACGCAATACAACCTTGAACTGACGTGAATTAACCTCATTCGACTATTCAAAGTCATTTGCTGATTGGTAGTTAGTTAGTGGTGCCTAAAGTCTAACTTGGCCCTGGGCAGATTTTGAGCATTTGTAGCGAATATTGAATAATGATGCATGAATCCATAAAAACTTTGCAAAGAATTGGGATCGTTTCATCGAAATTAAATGTAGCAAGAATATTCATTCAGACATCTATAAAACACAAAATAAAATCAAATGTCACGAGGATATTTTGGTAAAATAAAGCTAACTTATATAGCAATGTTCATACTAGATCGAAGTTTATGCAAAAGAACACGTAATTTCGCTGTGCTGTTTAGTTGGGTCAATTCCACTTTGAATATGTCTTCACAGCGTGGGCATCAATAATTGACTTGAGAAGACATTAACATACATACCTACAAAAATTTATGAAAAGGTGATTAAATTATGAACTTGACTTGATGCGTACTTGGCTTGAGAATCAAACCAACACTTGAATATCAATGAGATGCTCACTGGCGACTGGCCCTATATTCAGGTAGGTAGTTACCTGGAGTTCCAGTGGGAAGTCGTGACCAGTAGGGTGTAGCAGGTCGGGTGTGAGGACAAATACTCGCCACCGATGACATTGGCTAGCGGTTGCGCCATGTCGTGAATTGGCAGAAGTTAGAATTCATGGGCTGGCCATTGCATCAGGTCCCAGTGAGTGGCTTAATGGTCTACAAGCTCGCCTTGTAACCAGAAGGTCCTGGGTTCTTACCCTGCCGTGGTGGGTGAGTACTGCTGAAGCGGAGTCCCGAACTAGGACGAAACAGCTGTTCAGCACTCCCAGGTTTCCCAATGGTTCTCTAACCAATGTCAGCTTATCATGATGAAATCCTGTAAGCAATCAATCAAATCCCTACAAACCAACACTTGAATACCGACACTTGAGAGTCAATTTTCTCGGTATACAAATGACTGAATGACTGCAAAGATAATTTATTGGTTGGTGTTTCGATAAGTTGCATTTCATACTGCTTCTGTTGTTATTGTTGTTGTTGTAACAGTAGCTGGACTTGATCTAGAAAAAAAGAACGGAAGGACATGATTAAAACGCTCTGTTAACAGTCAATATGACTAGATA